CCCAAATTCTATTATTTTTAAAATTCCAGGTACATGCAATGGTTCATATGAACAAATGGACCCTACTTTTTAACATGCATCAAAACATTGTTCTCATTAATATTACATTGCTATGTTAAAGATGTTTTAGCATGTCCCAAAATATTTCTTTAATGTTTTTATGCATAAAACACTTGAATGGCTGTGGATATGAACTATACCTAACTGTATTGACTTATATAAAAATTCAATTTAAGGACAGACTTAAAAACAGAATTTGTAAGCTGGGGGCTGACTGCACACATGGAAAATTCTAAACCTGGGTATTAAAAAACAAGCCTCACCCATTTAGGCTCAGGGATACAAGGAATATAAGAAGTTTGTTTTTTTAACACTTAGAGCTGCTTTCAGAACTTCATTAAAAGGACTTCCAGTGCCCAGGCTATTATGAAAGCAAAGGTGGGGCATCAGTAGAAGATCTATGACATCTCATTCTATGACTGCTGCCAATTCTAAAAACCTTCATGAGTATTGAAAGCTGAGCCTACATCACCAAAATCTCACACATTTGAAAGTCATGTCAGTCTCGGGATTGTGCTAAGTTGCTTTCATTATTCTGAATTCTGTCTTATTTATTATCAACAACATTTTTTTTAATCACAAATGAGCTTACTGGTGTTTCAAGTGTAGCTGTGGTTCACCACAAGAAACCTTAAAGTACAAAATAACTCAATTATTCGTGAAAAGATAAAATTACAACTATTGTTCATTTTATAAAAGAATTTCTTTACATCAGCAGTTCCTAGTACATTTAAAAACCAACTTAATGTATAAAGGTCACAATCACACAGCACTTCTCAGAAACGTTTTCATCATGTCTATTAAATGAGATAATCCCCATAAAAGATTTACCACAATGCCCAGTAAATTATAAGTGCTCAATAAATGTCACACACTCCATTATTATGCTAAATGTCACTCATGAGCATATTGTATTCTGTAATTAAAACAGGTAGTTCTGAATCTTTTAGAGCTATGGATCTCAAATATGAGACTGTAGAAAAGTTATATGGTACACTTATCTAAACTATCAATCCTTGGGCTCCGCCAACAGAAATCCCATCTTGTGGTTCTGCAGGACAACTCAACAGCCTGCAGTTGTAAAGCATGTACCCTGGTCATGCACTATCAGAATTGAGTATTAATATAAAGCAAAATGAGATAAACCAGTGTTGTTGAGTCAATTCTGACTTATAGCAACCCTATAGGAGGGTATAAAACTCTCCCCATAGGGTTTCTTAACAGGGAAGACTGTAATCTTAACAAGGGAGGAGCTGTGGTAGCGTAGTGGTTATGAGTAGGACTGTTCACCTTAAGGTCGGCAGTTTGAAACTAGCAGCCATTCCGCAGGAGAAAGATGAGGCTTTCTGCTTCCGCAGAGATGTATAGCCTCAGAAACCCTATACAGGGTCAATGTGAGTCAGAACTGACTCCTCAGAACACCACCACCAATCTTAACAGGGAGTGCTGGTGTGGTGCTGCGGGTTAATGTGCTGGACTGCAAAGTCGGTTTGAACTGCAAGGTCGGTGGTTCAAGTTCACCAGCTGCTCCTCAGAAACTCAACACAGGGTCTCTGTGGGTCGGAACCAACTCGACAGCACTTAACAACAACACAGAAACAGACTGTCACATATTTCTCCCATGCAGCAGCTGGGGAGGTAAAAAAATGTCCAACCTTTTGGTTGGAAGTTGAGCACTTCACCACCGCACCACCAGGGCTCCTAGGTTGTTGTTGTTGTTGTTAAGTGCCGTCGCTCCTAGGTATTAGTATAAAAACAAACAAACTTGCTGCCGTTGCGTTAATCCCACCTCATGGCAACTCATGTGTTACAGAGAACTGTTCCAAACAGTTTTCTTGGCAGCAAGCTTTAAGGGAAGCAGATCTCAAGTCTGTTCCACAATGTCACTGGGCATGTTCAAACCACCAATCTTTGAGTGAGTAGCAGAGCACAGCCATTTGTACCCCCCAGGGATCTATGGGTTTTAATATGGAGTCTATGATATTCAGGTGACATAAAATGCTGTAACTGCTAAAAATCCTAATAACCTTTATGAGTACTTGAGAGTTTAACTTGGCTTGTTAAGATAAACGTCAAAGGCGTGGGAGTGGGGACTTTAAATCAGCTGCCTACTCAACAACTGGTTGCTGTGTCTGGGGTTAGAGAAAAGGGCAGCTGAGGTTTCCCCTGGCAAGAAGGAGGAACCACCTGCAACATAGGAGGCAAAGGCACCCTGTGATCCAAGGCCTAGTTGGGTTAATTTGGGGAAATGGCCGTTGAGTGTTGTTCCACTGACAACTCAGACATCAAAAAACTGTCCTGAAGTACTGAGACATCTAAACCCATGTTTCTCTACCTGTCCGATGCCTTCATTCTAAAACGCAGAGTATCTCTGTCTCTGGATAAAGAAATGTCAGAAAGAAGTTAATAGAAGGTGTTCTGCCTGAAGATTTCTTCCCCCCTTGCTAACAGAATTCATGATGAAGTTTTTAATAGAAAAAGCTGGGGAAGTTTTCCTTCAGGAGGGGAAAGACTGGGGTCCTTTCTCCACTACTCCCACATCTTCTCCCTGTATGCTGTGCAAACAATCCACTGTGTGACCGAGGGATTCGAAGGGAACTCACTCCAGGATTTGGCAGCTGTTGCCTGCGGTCAAGGAAAGAAGCCCCTTCCCCATCAACACAGCTTCAGGACACCTGGGTGCAGAACTGATTCTGAGTCCCAACGTCCAGTTATGGCTGTTGATAAAGGAAAAATTCCATTTTCATCTTAGCCTAGACAAAGTTGTTGTTATTTGCCATCCAGCTGACTCTGACTCACAGCAACCTTATACATAAAATGGAGCAAAACACTGTCCAGCCCAGCACCATGCTCATGATCTTTGGTATATTTGAGGCCTTTTGTTTCAGCCATTGTGTCAATCGATCACATTGAGGTTTCTCATTTTCACTGAGTTTCTACTTCATCATAAGATTGTTTTTTTATCTCATAAGAATTTCTTATCCCACTAAACCATGCATCTGCAACTTGGAGATACCAGTTGATAATGGAGGCTGTTGCTTTTGTTTTTAAATTCATTGTAGTTTAAAAATGCAATTTAATCCCAAGCATTCCCTTGGCTGAAAGTCTCCATTCAGGGGTATTTCTGCACAGCAAAGTGTAATGACAAGTGATGTCCACAGAAAGGGTAGAGCAGCACTCTGACATCCTAAGATGCCTTGTGAATCATTTTCAACAAAATTGAATTGCAGCTTCATTTTGAAATCAAATATATTTTATTATATTCTGTTGCTAGCTGCCATCAAGTCAACTCCAACCCATGGAGACCCCCATAAGCAACAGAAGAAAATGTCACCACGTCCTGCTCTATTTGCATGATGGTTGGAATACTTGAATCCATTATTGCAGCCACTGTGTGTTTTGAGTGTCTTCCAATCTAGAATGCTCATCTTCCCGCACTATGTTGTTGTTGTCGTTAAGTGCCGTCGAGTCGGTTTCGACCCATAGTGACCCTGTACAGGGTTTCCGAGGGTGTAAATCTTTACAGGAGTAGAAAGCCTCATCTTTCTCCCGCGTAGTGGCTGGTAGTTTTGAACCGCTGACCTTAAGGTTCGCAGCCTGATTCATAACCAGAGCTCCTTCTTCCTGCACTATAGTGAACAATATTTTATAATGGTCCACAGGAGTCTCACTGACTAATTTTTGGAAGTAGATCATAAGGTCTTTCTTCCTTGTCTATCTTAATCTGAAACCCGTCGTCACTCTGCTGAAACCTATCCACCATGTATGACCCTGCTAGTATCTGAAATGTCATTGACATAGGTTCCAGCATCACAGCAACACAAATCACCACAGTAGAACACACTGACAAACCTGTGGTGGTCAATTAACACAATGTAATCCACAAAGACAACGTTCTACATGCTACTTTTGTGAGTAGCATCTGGGATCTTAAACATTCATGAGTGGCCATCTAAGGTGTAGCTATTGATTTCTCCATGTGAGGAAGAAAGAAGAGTGATGAAAACTGAAGATACTTGGAGTTAACTAGTCCAATGGACCAATGGAGCAGGTGAACATCAGTCACCACAAGTCAGACCACAAGAACTAGATGGTACCTAGTTTCTACTACCAACTGCTCTGAAAGGAATCACATTAGAAGTTCCCAAGTATAGTGGCAGAAAATGTGGAACAAAACTCAAAATTATTTAAAAGAAAACACTGGGCTTACTGATCAGAAACACACTGGAGAAACCAAAGCCTATGGCCCCGTAGCCTCATTCAGTTCTGGAACGGAACTCACCCTCATGGTTCAATTTCAGCCAGGCAGAAATAGGTATATGAAGGGGACAACAACATTAGTCAGGTTCACTCACCATAGAATGCTCAGTTATTCAGGATCAAAACAGCAACATTTACCTGTGGACAAATCTGAGAAGGGATGGAAAGGAGGGTGGAGTGAAAATGGGAACCACTAGAAGGAAGTGGGATGATGGATGTTACATGGAAGGGATGCCAATCATTGATATGAAACCAAGGGTAGGGTTTGATGAATATAAAATGAATGATCTTCTCTGTAACCTTCACTCAAGTCACAAGTTAAAAAGCAAAACAAAAAACCTTGTGGTGATGTTATAGTCTAGCTCACTGGAATGTGGTTAACTCAGAGTGGTAAATACAGTGACCATAAACTGGAATGTTTAATCAAAATACCATTCTGCAGATGACAAGAAATTAGTTCTATATAGATACTGCACTACTATTTGTGTCTATTAGTATATGTGCATGTGCTTTATACTTTAGTTCTCAAGCCTCTAGACGGTCCCTACAAGAATATTTTATTTCTCTTGTGTTTACAGCAAATATGGTATAAATGTATTGAGATTTTAGGGTTTTAGACCAATTTCCCATGTACAACTTAAAGTTGTATAGAAGAATTGCACTGAAATTATTTCACTTACCAATCCATCCTTGTCATAAGGTGAGTCAAAGTTATCCAGAAATTTCCTGAATACTTGTTCCTCCGACCACTCTCCATTTTGGTACTTTGGGTGGTGTTTTGCATTATATAACTCACGAAGATCTTCAATAGTTATAACACCATCTCCAGTCCTGTCTAACTTTCTAAAAGCTTGCATAATTATCTCTTTTCGGGCCCTGGACATAGGAGGCTAGAGAGAGAAAAAAAACATATACACCAACGTGCACAAGCAAGGTGTTCTTATTAAATGCCATTGAGTTGGTTTTGACTCATAGTGGCCCTGCACAGGGGTTCCAAGGAGTGGCTTGTGGGTTTGAATTCTGACCTTGTGGTTAGCAATCCAGTGCTTATCCTACAGCACCACACTAGAACTCATATGTGATGAGATAGCTTAGGCCCTTCAGGACTGTGAAATTGCTTGCATGCTATCAAACAAAAGGCATTATGATTACTCCAGAAAGTCCCTAAACCTGTTCTTAGGTTTCTCACCCACCTCTTCCAAAATGTATTAATAGCTTCTGAAAACATAACTTCAAAATAGCCAAACTAAACCACATGAAAGCAAAACTCAGCACTACACTGATTCAGATGGCTACTTACCCTCAAAGTAAGAAGAAATTCATTGAAATCTATGGTTCCGTTTCCATCTTTATCAAATCTCCTGAAAAGCTCTTCTGCCTCTTTCTTTTCCATGACCACAGCATAATCGTTTAACCCTTTTACAAATTCTTTGAAATCCAGGGTTCGGTTATTATTATCATCCATGATCCGAAACACTCTGAAGAAAATACACAGAAACACACACACCAAAAATGAGAGCAAGAGAGACACCAAAAACAAGGTGTAAGCATAAAGCGTTAAAGAAGAAAACAACTCTCAAAGTCTTTCAAATTAAAATACAGAAATCTTAGATTCTGCTCCACTCTCTCTTTCCAAAATAAAGTGTCTCTTCTAAGCCTCTCATAAAGAGAAATAGCCCTTAAACACACACACACACATATACACACACTATATAACACCAATATCATGACTTTCTGAATAGTCCAAAATTACACAAACAGTAAAAAGATCAGTAGTTATCAAAGAGAGGGAAGAGTGGGCTGAAAAGGTGAAGTACAGGGGATTTTAGGTGTGTGAAACTCCTCTTATGATGCTGGTATGATAGAAACACGACATTCTATGTTTGCCAAAGCCCGTAGGCTATGCAGCACAAAAGCATACATTTGCAAAAACCATGAAAGGGCAGGGAATATCAGGAAGGGACATAGATTGTAACCAGAAAGTTTAACTGTAACTAAATGTATGAAATGACCTCAGTAAAGGGAGTTGGGGAAAGAAAAAGATGAAGTTACTATGACAATGAGTTGTTGTTGTTGTTGTTGTTAAGTGCCGTCGAGTCGGTTCCGACCCATAGCGACAATGAGTAGAATCTGTCAAATTGAACACAAAAGGAGCTCACATATAGCCTGCACTCTAGTTGATCAAGTTGGCTCCCATGTGGGTACAGATGAGCAATTCTGATACTGCTCTGCAGGTACGCTGGAATTAAACAATCAAACAAGTGGATGGGGAAGGTAGAGATCAGGGTTCTCACTAGTGGAGGGAGAATTTACTAATAAGCAAGAGGAGGAGTTCTAGTGTGGCACTGTAAGATCTAGGAATTCTAGTGTGGCACTGGACTGCTAAGCGAAAGGTCGGTGGTTCAAACCCACCAGCCACTACTCAGAACCCCTATGCAGGGTCACTATGAGCCATGGACTGCCAAAAGAACCAATAATCTGTTTTGGAAGAAGTGCAGCCAGAGTGCTCCTTGGAGGCCAAGATAGCTAAACTTCGTCTCTCATACTTTGGACATGTTGTCAGGAGGGAACAGTCGCTGGAGAAGGATGTCATGCTGGGTAAGATGGGGGTCAGAGAAAAAGAGGAAGACCCCCAACGAGATGGATCAGCCAGGTGGCATCATTGATGGACTCAAGTGTGGCAGCGGTAGTGAGGTTGGCCCAGGATCAGACATTGTTTCATTCTGCTGTGCATGGGGTCGCTATGAGTCAGTTCCGACTCGATGGCACCTGACAAACAACAACAACATGAGTCAGGAATGTCTCTATGACACTTTACAACAATAACAAGAGGAGGATGAGGATCCCTGGTGGTGCAGTGGGTTAAGGATTGGACTACTAACTAAAACATTGGCAGTTCAAACCCACCAACTGCTCCCCCAGGAGAAAGATGAGGCAGACTGCTTCAGTAGAGACTTACAGCCTCAGAAACAGAGCAGTTCTACTCTGTCCTGTTTGACAAATGTCATTAAGTGGCATAGAGTCAGTTCCGAGTTGCAGCAAGGACACCCTGCATAGGGTTTCTGAAGAGCGGTTGGTAGATTTGAACTCTTGGTCTTATGCTACAGAGCCACGCCAGGACCCCATCATATAGGGTCACTATGCATGGGAATCAACTTGAAAGCAGTGGGATTAGGTTTTGCGAAGGATTGTTGTTTCATGCCATCAAGTCACTTCTAACTCATAGCAGCCCTGTTTAGGGTTTCCAAGGAGCAGCTGGTAGGTTTGCAGTCCAGTGCTGATCTTATAGTGCCACAGTGGAAAAAATAGGATGGTAGAAATAGCCATGTGGTAACACATTAGAGTCAGAGACCAGAGACATCGGTTTCAATACATGCTTAATTTTAGAGATGCAGAGGGTTACACACAAATATAGATACATGCATACAGGTTAGCATGTTGTTATTGTTGTTAACTGATGTTGAGTCAGTTCTCACTCATGGGGACTCTGGTTAGGGTATCCAAGGAGTAAGCTGGTGGGTTTTCAAGATGCGGCTGGTGGGTTTGAGTCACCAAAGTC